TGGTGTTGACGCCCAATCTAGACACTTTCCATAAATTCATCACAGAGGCAACGTCACAGAGGGAGGCGGACACTGGAGATGGGGCTGCAGCTCTCAGGCCATGCCTCCCGAATCGCAGGCCCACTGGGAACCCTGATTTCCAGCTCTAGAGAAGTTGCCCACCCTCCCTGCCCCCATGTCTGTGTGGGTGAAACTTGCAGGCACTCCAGGTGGGCTGGCTCTGTCTCCCGAGAGCCTGGGAAGGTGGCAGGCAGGAGAGCGCCAGGCCCCGGTTTGTTGTTCAGAGATTTGTTTTTTCTTTGACAACTCCAGGGGCAACGGATTGGAGGAGGCTGGTGAAACGAAGGGACACTGGGTCCTCCTCCCTGATGCCTACCAGGCCTGAGACCCTGGGCTCTGGCTGCTGCAACTGCCTGGGAGCCCTTCGAGGCTGATCACTTCTGAGAAGTTCCAGGAGAAGAGGTCACCCTGTGTCTCCTCCCTGCAGTGGAAGGATCTGACCCCAGGTGGCTGCAAAGGACAGGGTTGTCCCGCAGTGGCTATGGGGACAGTGGCTAGGGTCGCTGCTGTGTGACCTTGGCCAGCAACCAACAGATAGCCGGTCCTGTTCCCCTCACCCCCACCCCCTGTGCCACACAGATGCAAGCGCTGCTCCTCCTGCCTGGGACGACTTTTCTCTCCGTTCCTATCACCGAAGAGCCCTCATGACTCGGCACCAACGCCACTTCCTCCAGGAAGGCTCTCTCCTCCCAAGAGCTCTGAGAGTCGCACACAGCTCCTGGGGCTCCCCAGGCTGCTTGGGGCTTGCTAGCTTGGGTCAGACCCAGAATTATTTTCTTCCCCCCACTCCGCAGTACACAGAAGTGTCCACTAGGTGGTGATAAAACAACAAAGTCCCCTTGGGGACGAGCCCTGAGTGAGGCCAACCAGGCACACCACCTGCCATCATTCCTTGCTTCCAACGACTCTGCTTAGAGCAGGTGCCTCACTCGGGGCTGCAGGGAGGCTGCGGGGGATAGGGCAACACAACAAGGTTCCTGCTCTCAGAGGGCTTATGTTCTAACTGAAGAAGGGCAGGTGGGATGGGGCGAGGGGCAGCACAAATAGAGTCTGTTCAGGGAGTGCCAGGGCCCTCAGAGCGTCTGGACGTGCGGACCAGCATTTGGACCACTGGGCGTAGGATGGCGAGACTGTGCCTCTACAGCCCTGTATAAATCAGGCCGAGCAATCAGCAGCGGCCTCTCTGCGCCCAACATCTCCCACCTTGGGGGGGACGGTGTCATAGGAGTTGCAAGTTCCCCTGAGTCATGATCTGCCCAGAACTAAATGGAGTCACTGACTCCATGGACCAAATCTGTCCCATTTTTACATGACTCCCAGTTTAGGAGTGAGCCTACTCAGAAGAGCGGAAATATAATAACAGTAATAATAATAATAATTTGTGATTAACTAGAAAATAGACTAAATTTAACTGTCAGTGATCCTAACTAAAGGTTTATTTGGAATGCAGCTGCATCCATTGACATTCATATTGTCTAATGCTGCATTTGGACTGTGGGCCTGGGGAGTTGCGGTGTGGGCTGCCGTGGGCACTGCTCGCGTGGGGACCATGGTGCCAGCTGTTGGGCTGGAGCAGGCGCTGCTGCTCAGGAGTCCTAAAGCCTTGGGTGTTACCACCGTCTGTCTGTCTTGGAGTGCTGTTCCGGCTCTGCCCATCCCCTTCCTGTGTGAGTGATGGAGGACGCAGGCCCCAGAGGGGCCAGGGTCTCTTGGGAGCCCGGCCTCCCATACGGCTCAAGACCATGTGGCCTGGGCAGTTGGGTGGCTGGCACCTTTGGCCTGTTGGGGGGGAGAGAGGCAGGAGAAGGAAGAATGAAGCCTGGCAGGATGTCCTCAAGTCCAAGGATCAGCGCTTTCCCGAAGCCTCACTTTTATTTCAGGAGAAGACATGGTGAGATGCAGGTACATGGGAGAACTGGCTTCATGTTTCATCTTGTGATTTTAAGATTTATGAAGTGGGGCTGGCACGTTTCTCAACTGGCTAATCCTGCACCTTTAAACACAGGATTCCATCTGGGTGCTAGTTTGGGTCCCGGCTGCTCCACTTCCAATCCAGCTCTCTGCTTTTGGCCTGGGAAAGCAGTGCAGGACATCCCCAAACCTTTGAACCCCGCACATGGGAGACCCAGAGGAAGCTCCTGGCTTCGGATCAGCTCAGCTACAGCCATTGCAACCATTGCAGCCATTTTGGGAGTGAACCAGTAGATGGAAGATCTTTAAAAGCAAAAAAAAAAAGGTGTTTTTTTTTTTTAAGATTTATTTATTTATGTTGGAAAGATATTTATAGAGCAAAAGAGATACAAAGAGAGAAAGATTTTTCCATCCACTGGTTCACTCCCCCATGGACCCAACAGTCAGAGCAGAGCCCATCGGAAGCCAGGGACGGGAACTTCTTTGAGTCACCCATACGTGTGCCGGATCCCTAGGGCTTGGGTCATCCTCCGCTGTTTTTCCAGGCACATTAAACACCAGCATCTCAAACTGTGACTTAACCCACTACTCTGCAGCGCCAGGTGCTTTGCTGGGGTACTGGGCAGTGATGTCAGGCCTTGGCTGGGGCAGAGGCCAAGCAGCACAGGAAACAGGAGCGCATTTCCTTCCCCGGAGTCCCTCCAGGCTGGACCTCCAAGGAACGCACAGGCCCGGGGAGTGAGTGCTCTCAGGCTCCTGGCTGGGTGGGCCTGGGTGCCCATCTCCACAGCCAAGGGTCTTCCCTGGTGCACATCCTTTGGGAGTCTGGGGGGTCTCCATGCCAGCAGAGAGGGAGAGTGAGGCAGCAGCAATTCACGGACTCAGGCCAGGATACAGCCAGGAGTGGCTCTCCTTGCCCAGCCCTATCCAGGGCTCCCACAGTCTCACGCTCAGCAGCAAGCCCTGGGACCTGTAGCCCCCTGCCTGCCCTCACCTGTCTCTCTCGACCCTCCGCACACTTCATGGGGTGCAGCTCAGTCAGCTCCAGTAAGAAGCATCCCATGGGACTGGCGCCGTCACCTAGTGGCTAAAGTCCTCACCTTGAACGCCCAGGATCCCATATGGGCGCTGTTTCTAATCCCAGCAGCTTCACTTCCCATCCAGCTCCCTGCCTGTGGCCTGGGAAAGCAGTAGAGGATGGCCCAAAGCCTTGGAATCCTGCACCTGCGTGGGAGACCTGGAGGAGCTTCCTGGCTCCTGGCTTCAGATTGGCGCAGCTCTGGCTGTTTCACTTGGGGAGTGAAACATCGGATGGAAGATCTTCCTCTCTGTCTCTCCTCCTCTCTGTATATCTGACTTTGTAATAAAAATAAATAAATCTTTAAAAAAAATAAAAAGAAGCACCCCTGATGCCTCCCCAGTGGGCGAGCACCTTGAACTTTTCTCAAGGTCATGAACACTGCTAGTCTTTATCCCATCTCATCTCCTAGATGGGTAACAACACATTCCTCCCTCATCCATGCTTGTAGATAAATGTCAGCTGAGCAGCTCACCAATCATGAGGACCTGGGACAAAGTTCTGAGCCTTGCCGAGCCTCAGCTTACCCACCTACACAATGGGCATGATCACAGTGCCGGCTGCAGAGGACTGCAGAGAGATGAGCTGAGAAGGCAGATGCAAAGGACTGCCACGGGCACACTGCTGGCTCTCAGAAACAGTTGGGATCAACTTGTCATGACTACCCTGTTAGTGGCATAAACCTGTGGCAGCACAATTATGACTCAGTCCTGACCAACATTAATGGGCATCTGCTCAAGACTGGACACCCTCCTCCGTGTCCCCCCTCACCTGGCTGGGTGGCTGCACAGGCTCTCCCTGCTTCCATTGGCCCCGCTTCCTGCAGCCAGCCCCTGGTTCTTGGCCACACACCCAGGCTGAGCCACTCTACCTGAGTGGGTGTTGGGGCTAGTGCAGGGAGGAGGGCAGGGCCAGGTGGGAGGGCCAGGGGACAGGGCCAGGCTTGGGAGCCTGCAGTGTGACTGCAGCCCAGAGGAGTTTGCAGCCTGAAAGAGAGAGAACAGAGAAATATCCCACCTGCTGGTTCACTTATTTTTTTTAAGATTATTTATTTTTATTGGAAAGTCAGATATACAGAGAGGAGGAGAGACAGAGAGAAAGATCTTCCCTCCGATGATTCACCCCTTCAAGTGGCCGTTCATTCTGTGACAGCAATGGCTGGTGCTGAGCCGACCTGAAGCCAGGAGCCAGGAAGTTTCTCCAGGTCTCCCACAAGGTGCAGGGTCCCAAGGCTTTGGGCCATCCTCTACTGCTTTCCCAGGCCACAAGCAGGGAGCTAGCTGGATGGGAAGTGGAAACAGGATTAGAACTGGAGCCCATACGGGATCCCAGGACGTTCAAGGCGTTCACGGTGAGGACTTTAGCCTCTAGGTGACGGCGCCGGGCCCTGGTTCACTTCTTCATTGCTTGGAACAGCCAGGGCTGGGCTAGGCTGAAGGCAAGAGCTGGGAATTCAGTTACCCATGTGAGCGGGAGGTACCCAACTGCTTCAGACAGCACTGCAGCCTGGATCAGCGTGGCCCAGATGGAACGGTCAGGACACCCAGGCTAAGAGTGCCAGTGGCTCCCACTGATACCCTCTCTCCTAACCCCAGACTCTGCACCCGCACACAGCCCCATACACACTGGAGTCCTTTGCTGGTGCCAACCCAACACCACACCTAACGGGCCCGAACCTCCGGGGCGCAAAGCGGCCACGTTTGGCCGCGGCTTCCTGGAGTTTCCAGCCTCGGATCCACTGGAGCTGGATCAGACACCGAGACCTGCACACGGGGTCCCCCCGCAGCGCGAGCAGCCGCCGCGCAGCCCCATCTCTGGTCAGCCAGGCTCCCAGCCCCGACCCGCGCGCGCGCGCGTTCCCGCCTGCCCACGCGCCGGGACCCGCCCCATCCGAGGCCCCGCCTCCCGCTTCCGTCCCGCTGGCCGCCGCCGGGTCGGGCCAGAGTTCTCCGGTGCAGGTCGGATGAGGCTGGCAAGACTCATGAAGGTGTTCATCACCCGCAGGATCCCGCCCGAGGGCCGGGCCACGCTCGCCCAGGCCGCAGAGTAAGATCCCGGCGTCTCCCGCGCCGTGGCGGGAGTCACCCGAGCACACCCCGGAGTGTGGAGGGGTGCCCGCTCCCGGGTCCGGGTGATTCAGCCATCTCCGGACGCGCCTGGGAGTGGAGCGTGAGGCTGGGGGCGGCCTTCAGAGGCCTCCTGTGGCTGGGATGGGAGACGGGTGAGGAGGCAGTGTCCCGGGCCTGGGCCCTGGGCCTGGGCTGCATTCCAGGCTCCTGGCAACTCTCATTGGCGCTGGGCGGCCAGGTGGGCCCCAGGACAAGGGGAGCCAGGGACTGTCCTGGACACGAGGTCCTAGCTGTTAGTTCTCCACCCCCTATCTCGGGCGCAGCTTGCCAGACAGGTGGGGTCAGGGTTAGGGTTACTGGTCTGGCCCAGTGAGAGATTGGCCATGACCTTTGATGAGACCTTTGAAAAGCTCCGCCGGCCAGCCTTCTATCCTTCAACTTTGCATTGGGAAACGGTGGAGTCAGCTATTCCTGCTCCAGCCAGAGTACAGAACCTTGCCCAGGTAGCCACGCTGGGGGTCCGAGGCTGCATTCCACCAACGGGAGTGGGAGGTGGGTCCTGTTGCCCCAGGCAGCAGGGCAGGAGATCAGATTTACGTTTTTATTTTTTCAGTGCAACAGAGCTTATACTGAAGGCCTGCTGTGCCCTAGAAGGATGGCCTGGGCCGAGCTGGGGTGGGGTGGGGGTCGGGAGAAGCGTGGACACTGACTGCAGGGCAGTCTGCTCTCCTGTTGTGGGCTGTTGCACGCAAGCCGAGCATCTCTGTGCTGGCTGCACTAACAGTAAGTTCTTGTTACCTGACAGGTGGGGATCCTGCCCTCCCTGACCTCAGGGCAAGTATTGGAGATCGACCTGTCAGAACAGAAAGATGCAGGTGACCCCCAAGCCCCAGCCCCCAGGACTGTAGCCAGCTGGGGCCACATCTGTCCCCTGCATGCTCCCCCACTGGGGAGCTGGTGTCCTCTGCTAGTGGCAGCCCTTCGCCCTGCAGGCAGCCTGAAGGCAGCAGGACAAGCCCTGAGAGGGTCCCCCAGCCCCAGCTGCTCCTGAGCATGCTGCCTTCCCCCTGCAGCTGTGAGGTGGAGGAGTGGGACTCGGATGAACCCATCCCCAGCCAGGAGCTGGAGCGTGGTGTGGCGGGCGCTCACGGTCTGCTCTGCCTCCTCTCTGACCGAGTGGACAAGAAGCTTTTGGATGCTGCTGGTACGTATCCTAGGCATCAGCTGGCTCGAGGGCCCGTGGGCAGCCAGCATGCTCTTTGGGTACCCTGGCTTGCTGTTGAACAAGCCCCTCTGGCATGCACACTGCCCCACCCTCCGACCTCCCCCAGGTGAGCCCCTGAAGGCAGACCCTGTGCCTGTGGGCGGCAGGAGGCCTGGCGCCGGTATGTGGTTATCCAGCCACCCTGAGACTGGGTCATGGTTGCAGTCATGACAGTTGTGAGATGTTCAGGCACCAAGGTTGCCGAGTCTAGGGGTGGGGGCGCCTCATGAGCCAGTACCAAGCCCACTGCTCCCTGGCCCTGGCCCAGAAGCTCTCAGGAGAGGGTGTGAGAGGGCCTGCGCTCCGTGGGACAGCCCCCCAACAAGTAGCTCACTGAGTCCCCAGGCCTGGTTGGGTGGCCAGGGCAGTGGGTAAGACAGGCCTGGGCCGGGCTGCTTGATCTGCCTGGACCACGGAATCTGTGCTATCCAGTAGCCTTGGTCAGGGTTTTGTGGGAGACCCGGAGATGTCACTGTGTCTCTTTCCAAGAAAGTCATAACCAGGTGTCCCCATGGAGTCCCCCATGTTTTGGCTTTGAGTTGTATAAGGTGGAGACAAGAGATACGTTTTCTGTATCACAGGGAGCAACCTCAAGGTCATCAGCACGCTGTCTGTGGGGGTAGACCACTTGGCCTTGGATGAAATCAAGAGGCGGTGAGTGCAACCAGGGTCTTAAAGGGGGTCTGGGGAGGAGTGGCCATGGAGTGGGCATGAAGGGGACTCTGCTTTCTTAACTGTTTTTTAAAGATTTGATTGATTGATTTGAAGATCAGAGGTATAGGGGGAGAGATAAGAACCTTCCATTTGCTGGTTCACTTTCCAAGTGACTGCAGTGGCCAGGGTCAGGCCAGGCAGAAGCCCAGAGCCAGGACCAGCAGTTTCTTCTGTGTCTCCCACATGGATGCAGGATCCCAATGCTTTGGGCCAGGTGTTAAGCAATGAGCTAGAGTGGAAGTGGAGCAGCCGGGATTTGAACTGGTGCCCATATGGGATGTTGAACTGCAGACTGTGCCATAGCACTAGTCTGTTTCATTGTTTTCATTGTGTGTGCTCCAGTCACCCAGAACTCCAGGTGAGAGACAGACTGTCCACATGTACACCTGATGCTTAAAATCACCTGAGAGCGGCCCGGCGTGATGGCTCAGTGGCTCAATTCTCAGTTTACATGTGCCAGGATCCCATGTGGGTGCTGGTTCATGTCCCAGCTACCTTACTTCCCATCTAGCTCCCTCCTTTTAGAGGATGGCTTAAAGCCTTAGGACCCTACATCCTCATGAGAGACCCGGAAGGAGCTCCTGGCTCCTGGCTTTGGATTGGCTCAGCTCTAGCTGTTGCAGCCACTTCAGGAGTGAACCGGCAGACAGAAGATCTTTTTTTCTTCCTCTCTGTGAATCTGACTTTCCAATAAAAATAAACCTTTTAAAAATAATTTTCTTAAAGTTTTATTATTTTTCTGCAAAGTCAGATTTACAGAGAGAAGGAGAGACAGATCTTCCATCCATTGGTTCGCTCCCCAAGTGGCTGTAATGGCAGGAGCTGAACCGGTCTGAAGATAAGAGCCAGGAAGTTCCTCCAGGTCTCCCACACGGTGCAGGGTCCCAAGGCTTTGGGCCATCCTCGACTGCTTTCCCAGGCCACAAGCAGGGAGCTAGCTGGATGGGAAGTGGAGATGGCAGGATTAGAACCAGCGCCCATATGGGCTCCCAGCGCGTTCACAGTGAGGATTTTAGCCACTAGGCCACGGTGCCAGGCCCGTAAAATAAAATAAATCTTAGAAAGAAAAAATCACCCAAGAGGTCAGCAAAAGTCAACCTGTGTGGAGGTGTCTCCTTCCCCCACTTTGAGAGCCTTTTTGGAGCTCCGCAACAACACTGGAAGTAGAAAAGATGGCTATTACAGATTCCCCGTCCAGTTCCCTCCACCTCCACACCCTGCCCAAAGGATGGGGGTTGACGAATTGTTCTTCGGCGTTCCCTTGCCATCGAGGCAGGGCAAACAGGGAGCCAAGTGCCATTGTGGAGGGAGACATTCCCACAGTCCAGTACAGCGATGTTTGATTTGTAGTGGGATCAGAGTGGGCTACACCCCAGACGTCCTGACGGATGCCACTGCCGAGCTCGCTGTCTCCTTGCTGCTCACGACCTGCCGCCGGCTGCCTGAAGCCATCGGGGAAGTGAAGAAGTGAGTGAACGCCCCCCCACCCTGCAGTGCCCCATCTAGGGAGCGGCGTGTTGGACACAGCTAAAATCAGAGCCAGGGTGAACTGGGCACAAAGGGAAATCACGAAAGAGGAGGGTGGGAGAAGAGTGGTCAGTGGGGCAGGAGTGTGCATCAGGAGCGTATCCTTAGCAGCAGCTGAGACATGATGCTCCCAGCATCGCCTGGGGGTGGGCACCTCCACCTGCTGACCTGGGGGGTGGGAGGGGGTCACAGCTCTGCTCACTTGTTCGCAGCTGCTGAGAGCTGGCTTGGATGGAGCCCCACTTCCTGGGCCATGCCAGCTGCTGCTCTGAGCTCTCCTGGGCTGTGGGAGCTCACGTGAGTCCCCCTTTCTTCTATTTCCCTGTCCCACTCTGGATTTCTGTAAAGCAGGAGTCCTTCCCACTGCTCAACCGCAGTGGGCAGTGGTCATGGCTGCAGCTCGTCGCCCTTACAGCTGGGGCCATGGGTGCGTGTGTGTTTTCCCAGGGCCCCAGGGCCCCTCACCAGCCTCTCTTCTCCCACAGCGGTGGCTGGACCTCATGGAAGCCACTGTGGATGTGTGGCTATGGACTGTCAGAGAGCACGGTCGGCATTGTGGGGCTGGGCCGCATAGGTGAGGCTGTGGGCGGGGTTGGACTCTGCCCCTGCCACATGTGCTCACCCTCTGAAAACGCCTTGCTGAGTTCCCCCAGCTGTATCCTAGGGTGTCCTGCACCCTGCAGGGCTGGTACCCACAAGGAGGTAGCAGCAGCAAATTCACAGGCAAATGAACAAGTAAAGCCGAGGCTTCCTGTAGGATGTGTGAACAAAGTCAGCAAGGGGTCAGGGACCAGGGCTCTTTAAGAACAGGCAGAGGCTGCAGGTACAATGTGTATCCCTGGGAGGGGCAGGGCTCATTCACCTTGTGTGAATGGAGAGCGGTTGCTTGGGGTCCAGAGGGCCAGGAGCAGAGAGGGTTGCTGGAGGAACCCAACCTTGGGCGTCTTCTGAGTTTGAAAACCCAGCTGTCACACCTGTCTCCACAGTGTGTAGATGAACAGGTTTTGTAGGTTTGGGGTGATTTAGGAGACAGTGGATGACACCAAAAAAGTCAGATGTGGGGTGAGTGTTGGGCCGTCTGGGAAAGATGCTGCATCCCACGTGGGATTTCCAGCTCTGGCTGCCCCTGCCAGCTGGCTGCTGCTGCGGACCCCAGAGGGCTAGTGATGGCTCGGATACTGGGGCCCTGCCTCTCCCACAGGAAACTCGCATTGAGTTCCCAGCTGCTGGCTTTGGCCCAGCCCAGTCCTGGCCACCTGTGTGTCTGTCTTTGCTTCTCAAATGAATACATCATTTATTTTAAAACTTTACAAAAAGGATGTTTTCTTCTTATTTGAAAGGAAGAGAAACAGGGATGCAGAGGGAGAGAGATCTTCCATCCACTGGTTCTCTCCCCGAATGCTTATAATAGCCGTGATGACAAGGGCTGGGCCAGGCTGAAGCCAGGTCTCCTGTGTAGGTTGCCATCATTTGCCTCCTGGGGTACCCGTAAGTGGGAAGCTGGATGGGAAGCTGGGACTGGATGTAGCCAAATGAGGCCTGTTTTGCAATAACAAAAGCAGAGGATCTAGGAGGGAGGAGACATGGAATGTGTACCAGTGGTCCTCACAGTGGCTGGCACCTCCAAGAGGATGCAGAGCAGCCATTGGGCATATTCTGGGCATCTGGGGGCACTTTGGGTTTCCAGGGCTGCACAGCCACTCAGACGGACCAGTTCAGGGGGTGCCATGCTGAGGGATGGAGCTGGCAGGCCCTGCTCTCTGTGAAGTGAGAGCAAGCCGTGGACTTTGACTCCTTGCTCCAGGCCAGGCCATTGCTCGGCGTCTGAAACCATTTGGTGTCCAGAGGTTTTTGTACACTGGGCAGCAGCCCAAGCCTCAGGAAGCAGCGGAATTCCAGGCTGAGTTTGGTAAGTATGGCCTCGATGTCTGCTAGAGCCCAATCTGTACTCAAGCAGTGAGTGGGGGGCTCTTGTTTCAAAGCATGACAGGGAAGGGGATTTCTATTTGCTGGTTCACTTCCTAGATTTCCACACCACTGTCTAGCTCTTCTATGTGGATATAGGGGTCCAGCCACTTGGGCTGTCTTCCGTTGCTTTCCTAGCAGAGAATTGGGTCAGAAATGGAGCAGCTGGGACTTGAACCAGATGCTCCAACATGGGATGTGTGGTTTAACCCACTTTCCCTGAGAGGTGGCGTGCAGGCAGGATGTGGCAGCTCCAGGTGGGATGTGGGCTGCTGTGTCCTGGGTGTCCCTTCACCTCCCTGCCTAGGGAACTCTCTCAGTGCCAGGCCCCCTGCTGGGCACAGTTCCTTGTCACCACTGCCTGTGCAAGGGCAGAGCCGTGGGGAGGAGGAGCTGAGCGCCACTGTGTGTCTGTCGGCAGCTGGCGAGTACAGGCCCAGCACTGTGTGCCCTTGTTCAGGAGTGCATAGCTTGGAGGGCAGATAGCAGACTGGGCCTCAACCACTGCAGGTCCCCTCATCACACCAGGCACTCAAGGTGGTAAGGTCAGGGCCACCTAGAGCCCCAGGTGGTGCTGCCCAAGGGCCTGCCATCTCAGGTCTGCACCCCGGGGGCTGGGATGACCCAGGGCCCACGGGAGGCAATGGACTTGGTCGTCAGAGCTGTGCAGGTGGAGACCTGGCCTTCAGAAAGCATCTTGGGAGGCTGTGCCATGGGAGGTGGTGGGGGGGGTGGAGTCTGGGCCATCCCGCTCCTAACCTGCCCATTGCTCCACCCTCAGTATCTGCCCTGGAGCTGGCCGCTGAGTCCGACTTCGTGGTTGTGTCCTGCTCCCTGACGCCAGCCACCAAGGGGCTCTGCAACAAGGACTTCTTCCAGAAGATGAGGAGCACAGCTGTGTTTGTCAACATCAGCAGGTATCCCAGGGATGCCTGTGGTCTGAAAGGCTATGATTGAGCCCTCGGGCTGAGCTTGCTCATCTGCAACAACCAATCAACTGACCAACTAACTAAAACAACCAAGTAACCAACCAATTAGCCAGCTAACCAATCAACCAAGTAAGCACTAGCCAACCAGTCTACCAAGTTATAAACTAAACAAGTAACCAGCTAACCAAATAACCAATCCACTATACCACCTAACTCACCAACCAAGTTACCAACTATCGAAACAACCAACTAGCTTACTAAGTATACTAACGAACCTGTTATCCAAGTTACCAACTAACCAACTAGCCAAGCACCTGACCAATCCACCCACCAACCAGCCAACCAATTAGCCAACCAACCAGCCAGCCAATCATTAACCATCCTGCCCACACAGAACACAAGAAAGGCCATTTGCAGCCATTAGGAGAGTGAGCCAATGGATAGATCGCTGTTGTAACTCTGCCTTTCAAATAAATACCTTAAGGGAAGGGAGAAAAACAGTACTGGGATTAGAGATTGTCCTACTGGCTAAGATGCCCACATCACTACTGTGAGTGCTTGGGCTCAGCACCAGCTCCGGCTCCTGACTCCAGCTCCCTGCTACCACAAGAGGAAGTTGGATGGAGTTCCCACCCCAGCGTAGTCCTGACCACTGTGGGCATTTGGGGAGTAAAGCAGAGGATAGGAGCGCTTGGTCATATGTCTACTCTGCCTTAAATAAACAACACTGGTTTATTTATTATTTTTTTTTTCAAAGATTTATTTTCATTATTTTTTTATTGGAAAGGCGAATATACAGAGAGGAGAGACAGAGAGGAAGATCTTCCGTCCGATGATTCACTCCCCAAGTGAGCGCAACGGGCCGATACTATGCCAATCCGAAGCCAGGAGCCTCTTCCGGGTCTCCCACGCGGGTGCAGGTTCCCAAAGCTTTGGGCTGTCCTCGACTGCTTTCCCAGGCCACAGGCAGGGAGCTGGAAGGGAAGCGGGGCTGCCGGGATTAGAACCGGTGCCCATATGGGATCCCAGGCTTGCAAGGGGAGGACCTTTAACCACTTGCGCCACCGCGCCGGGCCCCTATTTATTATTTTTTATATGAAAGGCAGAATTTAGAAAGAAGTACACAGACTTTCCATCTGCTCAGTCATTTCCAAAATGGCTGCAACAGCCAGAGCTAAGCTGATCCAAAGCCAGGAGCCAGAGCATTTGTCTGGTCTCCCAAACAGGTGCAGGCATGCAATTACTTAGCCCTTCTCTGATGCCTTCCCAAGCCATGAGCTGGATCAGAAGTGGAGTAGTTGGGACTCAAACCGGCACCTATATATGGAATGCCAGCACCATATGGAGAATTAGCTCACTACACCACTGTGCCAACTTTCCCACCAATATATTTTACTTGAAAGGCAGAGAGAGGGAGAGCATTGGTTCACTTCCCACATGACAGCAAGAGGAGCTGGGCAGACCAAAAAAGGTGCCAGGAACTCCATCCAGTTTCGCAGATGGCAGGGGCCCAGGCACTTCACCGCCATATGCTGCCTCTCCAGGTGCATTAAGCAGGGCGCTGGATCAGAAGTGCAGCATCTTGTGCCTGAACCCACACTTGGATTTGTCAGTGTTGCAAATGGTGGCTTAATATGCTACAACACCATACCAGCCCCAATAAAAAGAAGAAAAAAAAAAAAAGCCTCAAAGGCTCGGTTTCTGAGGGTAGTTCTGTTTGTCCTAAAGGCCTTCCCTGCTCTCATTCCCAGGGGCGACGTTGTGAATCAGGACGATCTGTACCAGGCCTTGGCCAGTGGTCAGATTGCAGCTGCTGGACTGGATGTGACGACCCCCGAGCCTCTGCCAACAGACCACCCCCTCCTGTCCCTGCAGAACTGTGGTGAGAAGTGTTTTCCCATATGCACTGCCCTGTGCTGTCCTGCTGTCGGGTGGGGCTGAGGGGCTTGGCGGGCTGGGTGTGCAGCCAGCAGGGGATGAATGTCGTGGGAAACAATGACAGGAGGTGCTCCTGAGCAGGCCAGCCTGGGTCTGTGTCCCTAACAGAATTGAAGGCAGGAAACAATTTTTAAAGATTTGTTTTTATTATTATTTTTTTTTTATTGGAAAGGCGGATATACAGAGAGGAGAGACAGAGAGGAAGATCTTCTGTCCGATGATTCACTCCCCAAGTGAGCACAACGGCCGATGCTATGCCGATCCGAAGCCAGGAGCCTCTTCCGGGTCTCCCACACAAGTGCAGGGTCCCAAAGCTTTGGGCCGTCCTCGACTGCTTTCCCAGGCCACAGGCAGGGAGCTGGAAGGGAAGTGGGGCTGCCGGGATAGAACCGGCACCCATATGGGATCCCGGGCGTGCAAGGCGAGGACCTTAACCACTGTGCCACCGCGCCGGGCCCAGGAAACAATTTTTTTAAATTATTTTTATTGGAAAGGCAGATATACAGAGAGGAGAGGAAGATCTTCCGTCTACCGAATGGCTGCCAACAGCTGGAACTGAGCTGATCTGAACCCAGGAGCCAGGAACTACTTCTGGGTATCCCACACAGGTACAGGGTCCCAAACTTTGGGCTGTCCTTGACTGCTTTCCCAGGCCACAAGTAGGGAGCTGGATGGAAGTAGGGCTACCGGGTCAGGAACCAGTATCCATATGGGATCCCAGGGTGCACAAAGTGAGGACCTTAGCCACTAGGCTACTGCACAAGGCCCAAAAGAATTTTAAAAGAGGGTGGGTGGGCCCTGGTGCAGCTCCAGCCTCTCCCGAGTGTCCCTGTGCCTGTGAGCCACCATTAGCCTGAGACATTACAGGTCTCACTACAGCACCTGTGCCCTCCTAGCTTGCTGGCAGGTTGGCTGTAGGAGTGGCCAGAACCACAAAGCCTCACCCACCCTGCCTGTGGCTTCCTGGCACTGTCCTAGGCAGCCAGGACCCTACCATTGGGCTTTGGTTTCAGCTCCAGGGTCTTCAGGCCCTGGGAATGCACACAGAATGGTCTCAGCTGCCACCCCCAGTTAATGTCCCCCGTTATTATAGCCCCGGGAATCACCGTTGCCATCCTGACCCCAGCCCACAGGGAACATGGCTTGTAATGTTGAGTGCTGCCCAAATCCCAAGCCCTACCCCGCTGGCCTGGCGTTCAACTTGGTGCCTCCTGCCCTTCAAATGTGGTTCTTTGGGGCAAGTGACCTCACAGACAACTGTGCTGCCCACACCTTAGCACGGTTACATCACTCCGTAGAAAGCCTGTGTGGCATCACCTTCTGGGTCCAGAGGGTGGGTGGTCAGGGGCTTAGCAACTTGGCCAAGATTGGTGCCCCCATGTCCCTGGGCAGTGATGTCAATGCTGGGTCTCCTCAGGCTCCGGATGCTTGTGTTTCTATACACGGATTTTAAAAAAGAAAGAAAACATCATTTATTTGAAATGGGCCAAGTGTGGTAGCCTAGCAGCTGAAGTCCTTGCCTTGTACCCCCTGGGATCCCATATGGGTGTCAGTTTGTCTCCCTGCGGCCCACTTCCCATCTAGCTCCCTGCTTGTGGCCTGGGAAAGCAGTGGAGGATGGCCCTAAGCCTTGGGACCCTACACCTGTGTGGGAGAACCAGAACAGGCTCCAGGCTTCTGGCTTTGGATTGGCACAGCACCAGCCATTGCAGCTATCTGAAGAGTGAATCAATGGAGAGATCTTTCTGTCTCTCTTCCTCTCTGTATATCGGACTTTCCAATAAAAATAACAAAAAAATAAATATTTGTTTGAAAGGCAGTTGGAGGAAGAGCTCTTCCATCTTCTGATTGACTAATGGCCCCAGCAGCTGGCACTGAAGCCATCAGCCTCCAATGGGTCTCCTACCTGAGTGCAGGGCCCAAGCATCTGGGCCGTCTTCTGGGGTTTTCCCAGGTGGATTAGCAGGGAGCTGGATCCAAAGTGGAGCAGCCAGGACGGGAACTCGTGCCTATACCAGTATTACTGGCAGCAGCTTTAGCCTGTTGCATCACAGTGCCAGCCCCTCAATTTTTTTTTTTGCATCAAAATACACTTGAGACTGGCGTAATGCTCAATTGGCTAATCCTCCCCTTTCAAGTGCTGGGATCTCATATGGGTGCTGATTCATGTCCCAGCCACTCCACTTCCCATCCACTCTCTGCTTGTGGCCTGGGAAAGCAGTGGAAGATGGCACAAAGCCTTGGGAACTTGTACCCACGTGGGAGACCCAGAAGCAGCTCCTGGCTGTTGGCTTTGGCTCAGTTCAGCTCTAGCTATTGTGGCCACTTAGGGAGTGAACCAGCAGATAGATCTGTCTCTCCATTTTTTTTTTTTTTTATTGGAAAGGCAGATATACAAAGAGGAGAGACAGAGGGGAAGATCTTCCATCTGATGGTTCGCTCCCCAAGTGACTGTAATGGCTGGAGCTGAGCCAATCCAAAGCCAGAAGCCTGGAGCCTCTTCTGGGTCTCCCATGTGGGTGCAGGGTCCCAAAGCTTTGGGCCGTCCTCGACTGCTTTCCCAGGTCACAAGCAGTGAACTGGATGGAAGCGGGGCTGGTGGGATTAGAACCGGCACTCATATGGGATCCCGGCGCATTCAAGGCGAGGACTTTAACCTCTACGCTATCATGCCGGGCCCACAAAAATAATCTTAAAGAAAAGCACTTTAAATCCCATTTTCCACAAACTTTTTGAGCCTCCTTGTGTTAGGATGTAAGCTGACTTGGGTCTGGGTGTCAGTGGCCTTGGTGCAGGAGGGGCTGAGGACAGGAGGGAAGGGGCCCGGGGGCCAGCTCTTCCGTCCCCTTCCTGGCAGGCCCTGGGGACACAGGCTCTTGCCCATCCTCCTCAGCACCCTCTTCTTCTCCTTTCCAGTGATTCTCCCCCACATTGGCAGCGCCACCTACAAGACTCGCAACACCATGTCTCTGTTGGCAGCTAACAACCTTCTGGCTGGCCTGAGAGGGAAGCCGATGCCCAGTGAACTCAAGCTCTAGCCACCTGGAGACCCCAGGGCTGAGTTGCTGGGTCCCATGCTGTCAGCCCCAGACAGGGGCCAAGAGAGTGCCTACCCCATGCTGGACCCACGAGACACTGTGCTGCTTCTACAGCTGAACAATCTGAGCCCCAGCGCGGGATTCTGCTATTAAAAAATTCTTAGAAAGACGCCTTGGCCTGTACCCTGGGGAAGCCAATTACACACCCGCCACCTTTCAGCAGTGGGCATCTGGGCTTGTGCCTGGCGCTGCTGCCTACCCTCAGCATTTTGCTTATGAGAGCCTGTCCAAACCTGCGTCCCTCTGCCTCTTCCTACATTCCTGTCCTAGTCCCTCCCCAAGGCCAGGACAGCTTGAATGCCAGTTGGGGGACAGTCCTAGAATCTGACCCCAGCAGAGGTGGAGAATTTCTGTGAAGGAGTGGGAACCTAGCAAGGTCTCCATGATCTGTCACCAGCACATGAAGGTAGGTGGGCTTTTTTTTTTTTTCCTTTACCATTTTTGCTAAAAGGTAGATAGAGGGACAGTCTGCTGGCTGACTCCCCAAATGCAACAGCCTGAAGCCAGGACCCAGAACTCTACCCATGTCTCCCAAGGAGGGGTGGGAGGCAGGGCATTTGAGCCTGGGGCTCCCAGGGTGTGTGCTTTCTAGAAAGCTCATGTTGCAAACAGCTGGGCCTTGATATGTGATGGTTGCTTAACCTCTGGGCCAAGTGCCCTTCTGAGTGGCTTCTTAGTTTTTTTAGTCCATTTCAGCACCTATACCTTTGTTCCCTCTCTCATCCCTTTACCCCAAGCAGGATATTTTTATAATCACTGTCCTCTTTCTCTTCCCTATAGCTATAGACCACTGGCAATCTGACTAGGTACTGAAGGAACCAGCTTCCTGCTCTTACCCCCAGCCGTAAGCCAGCAAATGGCACTTTTTAAGTTTGGAGCAGGACGTGTAGGAAGGGGCCTTCTGACCCGTGTGACAGACAAACCTGCCAGGTGCCCGTGGCTCAAAGCCAGGATGCAAGGAAGGCACATGGGATAAGGTGACAGGAGCAACCAGGAACTTCCTAACAGTATGATTTCCTGGGAGGCTTGGTTTTAAGGAAGTACCAGTCAAAGCATGACTGGCCAAGGCAGAAACATCATTTCCCATTTTTGTTTTAACCTTTGTAACATTAAGCAAAGAATATGGAGCTAGAGGCATGAATATGACAAAGTTTTATTTATTTTAAAATTCCACCAGCATAGCACCACTGACCCGGGTGCCCTGACACAGCTTTTATGTGATCACCAGAAAAGATTCTACACGATTATGCCGGGGCGAGAATTAAGGCTAACCAATCAGAATTCAGGTACCCAACACCAGTTATAATGCGTAGAAACTACAGGTCACAGTACGGACCCTGAGACTGGTTCTCCAGGGACCTCTGAATTACTCTTTAAGTGCTACAGCATGTCCAAAGACACTGGCCTGCTAGCTTGCTTCTGAGGTGTGGCAACTAAGAGGTAGATGAGACTCCAGGTTCTGTCCAGCAGTGGAGAGGATAGGCAGGGCTCCAGGGTACATCACAGGCCCCAAGGACCAAGCCCAACTTGCAGCTGAGCTGGAGCGGGACGCAGGCTCCTGGCACCTCATCCTGGGCAGGGCCTCTCACTCTCCACGCTGACCACCTGACTCCCATGAACAATCTCTCAACACACTGGTCCCTGCGTTGTGTAGAGGGCTGGATTTTCAGCCTCCACACATTGTCACAACATGGCTGCTGAGGGTGAGCCACATACCCCTCCCTTTCCCAGTTCTGCTCAACGTGTTTCCCCTGAGCTCCCCAATAGAACTCGCTGGCAGGAGACACTGAGCCCTTCTGTGGACCTGATGAGTTTAGCCACCAATGGGTGAGATGTGGATTAAGAGGAGCCAACACATTTGTTTTTGTTTTACGCTATACAAATATTTAGCTTTCTAAACATAAGAACTGAGTAACTCTGAATGAAGTACAATGGTTTGGTTATCTGTAAGAAAGCAGGACACCAATGAACCCCCATTCATGCATGAATTAAACTTATTTGGTGAGTGCTGCAGAGGTGCACTGACCTGTGCTGTCCCCAAATGCCTGTGAGCCAGGACTCAGGTGCCACCAGCAGCCCTGATGCTCCAAGGCCAGAGGACAGCATGAAGGAGCTGGAGTCAGGTGGCAAGGCCCAGAGAGGTGCTGGCGAATGACCTGCAGGCCCATCTGGTTGTCTTGGATGCTACCCAGTAACTTTTTAAGTTTCAGGCTGCCTACCCCCACTCACAGAGTCAGCAAAATATTTATCCATGAATGCTACTACATTTGGATTTCAAAACTTTAAATAGTATCAGGTTGCAGGGGGAGGCACACTAACTAATAAAAAGTTCAAGGTCTATGCTATAACAAAATCCATGGGGGTAGGGAGCGTTGTTTTTGGTTAGTTTATAATTGAAGACAGTAATGCACAGAAATGGGAAGCAGCGAGGCGAGAGGGGCTTGCCCTTGGGTGGGATGTGTCACGCTGGACTGGCCTGGATGTCTGGGTGAGTAAAAGGTAAATGCGTCATGGAAGACCCCACAAATGGGACTACATCAGAACAATGACAAACACCAGCTCTTCTCTGACTTCCAAATGGGACTGTAACATCGGTAATACAAGTGTTTTAAAACACTGCTAAAACAGCACATATAGAAACAAGACCTTACGTGGCACTCCCTATAAGCACATACTCCATTTACAACTCTGTTCTTCAAATCAGAAAAAAACTGGTAAAGACACCTACCCGACAGGGATGTTTCCAGAAGCATCTACACTAACAGTCCAAGAGCACGCATGCTCTGGACCAGTGTCAGCACCATTGAAGTGCAGCACCTGTGACTGCAACTCAGACAAAAATAGAAATATAGTACTTTTAGTGGCCAGGGACGCACCTGGGAGACACTTCCAAGCACCTGCCGCAGACAGGCACCAGGTCGCCACTGCCTGGTTACACTAAGTGCCTTTCTGCATCACTGTACAGGGGATGTAACATTCCCATCAGAGGGTAGAGGAAATTTCATTAAATGCTCCAGGGATTTACAAAAATGGTTTAAAAAAGTTTTGCTTCAATTTTTAAATGTGCTGCTTTGAACAACATTAATTACAAACTACAACTGCACTGCTTCACCCTAAGGAAGAACTTGGTTTCAGGGATCCCATCCCCTTCCAGAGGCGCACGTGTCACTCAGCCGCCTGGCAGTTTGGGCGACATGCAGTAGATCTCCATTTCCTGCCTGTTGGCACTTTCAACAGCCACAGGGCATGTGAAGCCCGAAGCTCCATGGCACAAGCCGCCTCCCAACACAGACTTCATTTCAGTCCCACAGCTGGCCTTAGTGGCATCTGACCAGGGCACTTAGAGCAAGGTGGTGGGCAGGTTGCTGCTCTGCCAGCGCAGGCAGGTGGTCTTGGAGTGCTTGTACAAGTGGCTTGACTGACTAAACCTCTTGCCACATTTCAGGCAGGCGTAGGGCTTCTCGCCTGTGTGAACACGGATGTGCTTCTTGCAGTCTGTCAAAGTCAGGAAGGTTTTGCAGCAGATTTTGCAGGCGTACTTGCGTGCGCCTTCTACAACCAAGACGTTGTGCTCTGATAAGGCCTTTTTGCACTTGGACAGGACATCCGCAGACGCCCTGGTCAGCTGTGGGGGGCCAGGCTGGGAAGGATGAGTGCTTTCATAGGAGGACGAGGCCCCCGTCAGCATCAGCTGGGAGCTGGCAGTGTTTTCTGGGATCTGTGAGCTCCTGACGGAAGTTACAACGGGCATTTTGGGAGCTATGCGGCGGTAGTATGGGAAATTACTGGCTCCTCCTCTTGGGGAACCCATCATAACCCTGGAGAAGGAGTGGAGGCCTAATCCAGACCTGGAAAAATCCATCCCAAACTGTTCTCCTCCCTGGTAGCCTGAAGTCTGCACACACGGCAGGCCCATCACCTCCTGCATAGGCCTGACAAAGTGGGAGTCAGCCGGCTCACTGAATGGGTTCTCCACGTGGGGGCCGGGGGCAGAGGAGGGCCCGCCCGCAGGCCCAGCCTCCGGACTCAGCAAGTAGGGGCCCTCGCCCTCCAGCCTGCAGTCACTAGTGGTGTTTGGGATATTATCATCATTGTTCTGATTTGCATTGAAGTTACTTCCTCGGCTCTTGTTCAAAAAATTAGAAATGCTAAAAGACGACTTAGGTTCTAGATTATTTGTGACTTCCAAAATATGGATGTCGCCCACCCTGTCTGTGCTCGACTGAGGATCTGAGAAGCTTCGGTCACTGCTCTCAGGACTCAGGTCGATCTTCTCGGCGCTGACCACAACGCCTTCCACTTCCACAGACTCGCTGCCTTCTGCCTGGGAGGTCACGTCACTCACCTCGTCCTGTGGCTCGGGGGAGCTCAGGGGCTCTGCTTTCACCACCACCCTCATGTGCTCCTTCTCGCCAAGGCCCACCTCAGGGTTCTCACACTGGAAAGCCCCCTTCTCAGCTGCCGTTTCCTGTTCAAAACCTGTCTCCACCTGAGTCGCCCGAGAGGCCATGGACAGCTGCGCCATGTTGCCGGCACTGTTGTCAGACTGGCTGGGCACCTGGGCATCTTCTTGAGCACCAAAAGGCTGGTCGAACATGAGAGCACCATCTTCCTGGTTATCGGCCATCCCATCGGCTTTTGTGTTCTCCACAATTTTCAGAGAATCTGGCGAGAAGAACTCCTCCCGAGCATGAAGCCCTGCAGGCCCATTCTCTGGAGTCACGTCTGACACAGCAGACTCGTCCACTGCTGGCCGGAGGCGCTGCCTGGCCCGCTCCTCAGCGGACTGCTTGCGCTTATGAAGGCGTCTCATGGGGAAGGGCGTCCGCTGGTCCAGGTTACTGCGCATCGAGGAGCTCATCGGCGCTGGCTGCTCCTCGCCACCCTGGCTGGAAGTGAGGGCCGAGCTCACGATGCTGAGGCCCAGCTGCTGCAACATAAAGGAGCGCTGCATACGGGCGCTCTGCTCCTGAACACGCTCACTGGGGGGAGACATGGGTAGCGTCCTTGTTGTTAGGTAATGTTTACACGCCTTAACAACAGAGTTCAAGTGCAGGTGAGAAGCTGCCAGTAAGACATCCATAACGTTGCTCTCCCCCAGCATGAGGGTAGAGGTGTACATCATGTCAATCAATGCTGCGAAGGCCTCTGCTGTTACCACCTCACTGTCCAGCTGGATCATGTTCATGGTCTGATCTCCCTCTGCCACCGAGAACAGGGCCCGGAAGTGTGTGCTGCATGCTGCCAGCACGGAGCGGTGGGCTTTAAAATGTCTGTTCCCCACAACGATGACGCAATCACAGAGCTGGCCATGGAGTCTCTGGTAGTTCAGCTGCTGGAAGATCTGTTCAAAGTGACCAGGAAAATCCATGGTCCTACAGGAAAAACAGAAAAGTGTTAGGATATGGAAAAACTTAAGCCCAAGCCAGAACACAAGATTACAAGGAAAAGAGGTGTAGCTGGCTCAGCATGGACCTCTGGAAGCTGTAGTGTCTCTGATGATGGGCACAGACATGGGGAGCTTGTTACCTCGGCCACTATCCCAGGAAGCATACACACCCATGGGCTCAGGCACCCTCCTTCAGGCAGGCACCCTCCTTCATACTTCCCACGACCCCCTCCTCTGAGGGTCTGTGTTGGAAAAGGATGATGTGTGGGTGAAGGCATATTCTTCCCATAGGTTTGTTGCTCCCTGAGGGTAATGAATGAGCACCAAGAAATTTCACACGGTCTTGATGGCCTTAAATAAGTCAAAAAGGCAAACCAGCATTAGTGGAAAGAAACTGCAGTTATAATGGTACCAGACTACACAAAAGTATTTGCTCCCTACCCATTCCTAAAACTGCATTAAAAAGATGCTAACGCTTTTTGGTTTCACTGTTAAAGGGATAATAAAAACCCATGGGGGGTGAGCGAGGGAGAAAAAGAATATGCACATTTGGTAAGCTAAGAAGGTGAATGAGTGCTGAATCAACATGCCTATAAAGCTATACCCCAGTCAGAGGCACACACCTTTCACACCCTTCCCAAAGGCTGAAAAACTGCTTGTCCAGGGATTGGGAAAGTGAAGGTCACGGGAGGCTAAGACAGGAGGCCTGGATGACAGCCAGTTCAATGAAAACAATCTCACACATAAAGGAAACCCACTGGGCATGGGGCACTATTCAGGAATAGATCCAATGGAAGAGGAACTGTGGGGATTTCTACACTATGGTTATGGCTGCACAACTCGCAAACACTTAAAACAAGAAATTAAAGTTTGTATATTATACTACAAGCAACCTCAATTTTCAAATGGAAAAGGTGGAGCTGGTGCTGTGGTACAGTGTTTAAGCTGTTGTCTATAATGTCAGCATCCCCTGGAGACTCCTGGTTCAAGTCCCAGTGGCTTCACTTCCAATCCAGCTCCCTGCCAATGGCCTGGGAAAAACAGCAGAAGATGGCCTCAGTATTTGGGCCAATGCTCCCTACATGGGAAACCCAGATGAAGCTCCTGGCTCAGGCCTGGCTGAACACTGGCCATTGTGGCCTTCTGGGGAGTGAAAAAAGGAAGAAAGAAAGAAAATAGTAAGATAGTCCCCCAAAATTAAACTGGCTCCAAATCAGTTTAATTTTAAGCATGGGGGCAGGGGCTCCCACGGAGCTAACTGAATAGATGCTTCCTAGAACATCATGCATTTCTTTGATGACAGAAGCTGGAGAATTACTATTGGGCTAGAGTTGCAGCTTAGCAAACCAAGCTTCTGCCTATGATACCCATCTCTTTTGGGTGCTGGTCCACATTCCATTTAGCTCTCGTACATGTCAATGGGCACTGAAGCCTAGTTCAATCCAACCAACCCTACTATCTAGCCCACACATATACTGGCAGGTGCCTTTCTGTCTAGCCACCCCGCACCTATCCTGGTTTTCACTCTCTCCAGTAGGAGTGGTAACCCAAGAGGGAGGTGCGCACTATTTCCCTACTAGGCCATTCCCACTCCCTGATTATGCACTCTCCAGGTGGTTCTGGAGTTTAACTTGACAGATTTAGTCCCCCAGTGTCAGCCTCTGCCAGCTGATGCTGCAGCAAAGCCCAACCAACCCTCATCCACTATAATTTTCGCTTGTACCAGTCGGAACAGTCAGTCCAACCTGGCTTTTCCCTGACCTAGCTCACATGAGGGTCACAGGTGCTGTAGTCCTGCCTGGTGTGGTCTCCCCCCCATCCCAACCCATGCTTTCCAATGGGAGTGGCTGTCCAGCAGGAGAGCCCTCCACATTCCCCCCTACTGGCTTTGCCCTCTCCTTCCCCATGGTTCTCATGTGAGCTGTTTGGGTGCTGTGTCCACATCTGGTACATCTCAGCTCACCTTGGCATTCCATAATGTGCACCGGTTTGTGTTGTGACCGAGCCTGACCCGACCTATACACTATTCTGGTGCTCAGATTTGCCAGTGGTTGATGTGAACTGGTTCATCCTGGTCTGCTCCTGACCTATGCTGAGTGTATGCCAGTGGGTATCTTTCTCTGGCCTGGTCTGGGTTGCTCCCTATCGTGCTTCTTGTGCTCACCTGCAGGGACTGTGTCCCAACAGAGGAGTTTACCAAGCTCCTCCATCAGAACCTCTCCCTATGCCAGATCTTGCACATACTGGTGGGTTCATGGGCCAGCCCTCCTTGTGGGCTTCAATCCATTCCGGTTCTTACTGTTGGATGTTTCAACCCAGCCAAGGCTTGTCCATACCCAAACACTGCTCACACATGGCTCAGTAGGGGCAGAGACCTAGCCTAGTCTGTCCTCCATCTACCCAGGTTCTCCAGAGCACTAGATGGTGCTGGCGCCTAGCTTAGCTGGTGTACTCAGCCCTAGTTCACACTTGTGCCAAGGGAAATTGCAGCCATATCCCCCAACCCAGCAAGGCTATACTCACAGCTCCCCAAATGAGCCAATTCCCAACCCTAGATGACGCATGTGCCAGTGGTTGCTCTGATCCAGGTGGCTTAGCCCCTCATCTGTCTCAGCCTTGCTTTCTATGCTGTGTCCTAGTATCCCTGGCTCATGCAGACCAGTTGGTGTAAGAGCCTAGTTTGGCATGACCTGTGTTCCATCCTGATTTTCATTCTTCCTTGCGAGTAGAGGTTTGCTCAGCCCTGCCTGGTCCGCCCCCTTCCAGTTGCAGCTCAGTCCAGCCCACATCCTATTTTAGGATGCACATTCATGTGCTGCTGCCTTGACCTGCCCAGACTGTTGTTGGTTCCTTTACCTGTAAGTGATGGCAGGTTCCATGGTCACACCACTCAGCCCACCACCACGCCAGCTCACTAGCTACCAGCGGGACTTGTATTTCCACAGGGTTTGGCCCACACTTCACCCACAGAATCTACCCCCAGACCTGGTTCTCTTGTGTGCTTGTTAGTATCTTGACCCTGCCAAATGCCACCCGTCCACCGTTTTACCAATCAGTCAGGTACCGGTACCTAGCCCTGCCAGACAGGCCCCTAGCCATAGCTTTCGTGTGGACTCGTGTGTGGCAGTCAGTGATGCTCTACGCTAACAGCCCATCTCAGGATTCCCATTCGGGCTGGTGAATCAGTCTGACCCAAATAGATCTTATGGACTCTCCCCTCCAAATCACTAGGTCTCAGTTCCCGTGCTTGCCAGAAAGTTCCATGACCCAGCTGTTGGGAATCAACCAGATTCATCCCTCACCTACACTCACACTGGCTTTATCCATGTATGTCCTGAGGCAGCAAATTACATATTCTAAAAGCCCCAGAACTCACCACCAGGCGGCCAGCAGGCAGAGCCTGGCACCACTTGGTGCCCAAACCTAGGACTCGGTCACCAACTGGCAGGAGTGACCTTGGCCCAGCATTGGGTCCAGCCTAGCTGGGGCACCACCCACAGCTGCCACACTGCAGGGAGGTGCTTTTGCCCCAACCTCACAGCCGAATACCTTGTTTTTGAAAGACTTATGTTAATTTGGAAGGCAGAGTTAAAACAGAGAAGAGAAGGAAATCATCTACCAGCTGGGAGATCATCCTACCCACGTGGGAGACCCAGAAGCAGCTCCTGGCTCCTGACTTTGGATCAGCTCAGCTCTGGTGGTTGTGGCCACTTGGGGAGTGAATCAGCAGATTGAAGATCTTTCTGTTTCTTCTTTTCCCTGTACCTCTGATCTGGCTTCCCAACAAAAATCAGTAGATCTTTAAAAAATAATAATGGCTTATTAATTCTAACAAAAACCACAGCAATGTAAGATGTTAACAACAGAGAAACTGGGTATGGGTATGTGGGAACTCCTCTTATTATCTTTACAGTTTTTCTACAAATCTGAAACTGTTCTAAAAAAAATAATAAAGCTCAGGGGCATGGTGTGGTAGCCTAGCGGCTTAAGTCCTCGCCTTAAACATACCAGGATACCATACTGGCGGCAGTTCTAATCCCGGCAGCCCAACTTTACATTCAGCTCCCTGCTTGTGGTGTGGGAAAGTAGTTGAGGATGGCCCAAAGACTTGGGACCCTGCCCCGGTGTGGGAGACTCAGAAGAGGCTCCTGGCTTCTGGCCTGGGATCGGCTCAGCTCTGGCCACTGCGGCCACTTGGGGAGTGAATCATCGATGGAAGATCTTCCTGTCTGTCTCTCCGTCTCTCTATATATCTGACTTTGCAATAAAAATAAATCTTTTAAAAAAAGAAAAAATAAACAAACAAATAAATGAATAAATAAAGCAAGCTTGGGCCCAATGTGGTAGCCTAGCAGTTAAAGTCCTCACCTTGCATGTGCCAGGATCCCATATGGTGCCATTTGTCTCCTGGCTGTTCCACTTTCCTTTCAGTTCCCTGTTTGTGGCCTGGGAAAGCAGAAGAGGACAGCCTAAAGCCTTGGAACCGTACACTCACATGGGAGACCAGGAGGTGGCTCCTGGCTCTAGCCAGCTAGCTCTAGCCGTTGCAGCTACTTGGGGTGTGAACTGACAGGTGGAAGACCTTTCTCTCTCCTCTTCTCTGTAAATCTGACTTTCTAATAAAGATAAATTTTTAAAAAAACAAACTTGAAAAAAACAAAGCTCATTCCCATCCCTCTGATCCCCAAAAAGGGCAGCCATCTATAGTAGGAAGTGGCTGATACAGGCTGGAGTGGCATTAGGATTGAAGAATTCACCTGAGGGGCTAGTGTTGCCACACAGTGTATTAAACCACCACTTCCAATGCCAGTTTGCATATCCAGTTTCCAGCTAATGTACTTAGGAAGGCAGCAGATGATGGCTCAACGACTTGGGTCCTATCATTCACGTAGGAGACCCAGATGGAGTTCCTGGCTCCTACCGGGCCCGGTCTAGCTACTGGTGTCATTTGAGAAAAACCAGAGATGGAGGATCTCCTTTTCCCTCCACTCTTTCAAATAAAATAGATTTTAAAAATATTAATAATAATAAGGAAGCCAGGAGAGTAGTCAGCTCAACTTCTGAACATGACAGAGGCTGTGAAGATGAGAGAAATATAGTTCTTTCCCGTATGGTGAGGCCCTTTGAATTGCACCAGGTTGTCAGGCTAGCTAGGAACTGTCCATCAGCTGCCCCTGCACAGGGAGCCACCCTCAAGGATCAGGGATAGGGCAGAAGGCAAATCGATCCAGGCTGCAAGTGACACCAAAGGCTTCCCAGCCGGCAGCGTGATACAGGTTTCACAGATTAGCTCTGTCTTCTCCCATAGCTCCTGCTAACCGACCTGCTCAGCTGCTCAAAATTTTGTCTACTCAAAATATGATGCAATTAGAGATGTCTTTGATTTGGTAGCATTTCTGGGTTCCTCTCACAAGTGAACCACCAAACAGCGAGTTTTCTTTTCTCTGCCCTTCTCAGATTCCTTTCACAGTAAAAACTAAACCAGGACTAAAAAAGTACCTGCCTTGCATTTTTAGAGGAAGGAGGTTTGGTAGATTCTAAATTAAAACTGATAAAGATGCACTGAAAAAGGTCCAGTGTGGTGGCCTAGCAGCTAATGTCCTCGCCTTGAATGCACTGGGATCCCATATGGGCGCAGGTTCTAATCCTGGCAGCTCCACTTCCCATCCAGCTCCCTGCTTGTGGCCTGGGAAGACAGTCAAGGACAGCGCAAAGCCTTGGGACCCATGTGGGAGACCTGGAGGAAGTTCCTGGCTCTTGGCTCCGGATTGGCACAGCACTGGCTGTTGTGGTCACTTGGGGAGTGAATCACTGGACGGAAGAGCTTCCTCTCTGTCTCTCTTCCTTTCTGTATATCTGACTTTCCAATAAAAATAAATCTTAAAAAAAAAAAAAGATGCACTGAAAAATGAATTACACCATGTCAACATAATAATGTGGGGGGGGGGTGGATTTTCTCTAACCATTTCAAACTTACTAAGATGGAACTAAAGCACCTGCAAACTTATACTGACAACTGCACAAAGGAACAGGTTACCTGGTACAAATTCTGAAAGCCAGCCCCACCACTTAATCAACCTTCAGTTTATAAAAACATCTTTTCACCCATGCAAGAAAAAAGAACACCTCCAACAGGCTTCTTTGTAAAGGTGACAAACCCCAGAGCACAGCAGCAAATTTAGACAATTCCCTG